AGATCCGAGCAAAGGACTAAGGCTAAGAGGTATGGATCCTTGAGAAATTTGTTAGTTTAGAGCTGAGTATATGGAAGAGATTAATTTTAATGGAGGATTACACACCTTTACCATTTGCCTAAAAAATATGCACAACATACTCAAAATAGACATTAAGAGTGTTTATCAAAATAGACGTGTGGAAGAGATTAATTTTAGTGGAGAATTAAGTACTTTAACAATTTGTCTACAGAATATGCAAATCATTCTCAAAATAGACATCAAGAGTGCTTATCAAAATAGACGTGAGTTAAAAACAAAATTAGCTCAGAAGGAAATAGTTAGATGTATCATTTTAACTGATACCAATGTCTCTTATCAGTGTTTTTATTTGGTAGTACGACAAATTATTGCTTTGTTTTCAGCCGAAGTTTTAGGTTGTCCATCCGTTATTTTCTCATGTACACTTTTTTATAATTATTTGTACACTTCTAATTATTCGGTTAATAAATTGTAACAAAGAAACATAGCTTGATTGAGTTGGTAAAATAGTAATATTTTCTATCTTAACTGGAATTGACAAAAATAGTAAGGTCATGGCATGTTGTGGGCTTGGCTCGTAACTACAAATCAATTTATTGGACGACACTAGAGTCATCACATTAGCAGTTTTCCCTCCTTCCCAATAATTAAGAAATGAATACATTTTCGGAGGAGATTACGGCACTTCATGCTAATCATACCTGGGATGTTGTGGATCGCCCGCCTCTTGATGTTCCGATTGTTGGTAGTCGCTGGGTCTACAACATCAAAGTCCTCCCGGTTGGTACTCTCGAGCGCTTCAAAGCTCGGGTAGTGGCACAGGGATTTACGCAGGAGTACATGATTGACTTCACTGAGACCTTTGCTCCTTTGGCTAAGATGGTCACTGTTTGTGCCCTCCTCGCAGTTGTCTCTCTTCGCCAGTGGTCACTTTTTCAGTTGGACGTGAAGAATGCATTCTTCATGGCGACTTGAAGGAAAAAGTTTATATGGAGCGTCCTCCGGGCTACACTGTTGGTTCCCCTGGTCTGGTTTGTTTGCTTCATCGATGTCTGTATGGATTGAAGTACGCTCCTCGAGCGTGGTTTGAAAAATTTCACAGCACGATTTTGGGACTTGGATTTCAGCAGAGCTTAAATGATCCCTCCCTGTTCACCCGTCAGTCCTTGCATGGCTTGGTTATTTTGCTACTATATGTGGATGATATGATCGTGACTGGTGATGAACAAATGGGATTGCTCGTCTGACTCATGGGCTTCATGAGTCGTTCCACTTGAAGGAGCTTGGCTCCTTATCTTAGCTTCTGGGACTCGAGGTTCTTCGTACTAAGGGTGGATTGTTTCTCATTCAGAAGCGGTATGTGGAGGATTTGTTGGAAACCGCCGGCTATGCTGACGCTACTCCGGTTTCTACCCCAATGGAGGTGAATGTCAAATTGGGGCGTGAATCCGGGGAGGATTTGGAGGATGGGGGGAAGCAGTATCGTAGCATTGTGGGCAGTTTGATTTATTTGACTTCGACTCGACCATATATTGCGTATGCCATTCAGGTGGTAAGTCATTTTATGTCAGCTCCGCGTACAACTCATCTAGATGCAGGTCATTGGTTATTGAGATATTTGCAGGGCACGAAATGGGTCGGTTTGTTCCTGTCGTCGATAGGGAAGTTGGTTCTATAGGCCTTTTCTGATTCTGATTATGCAGGCTGTATAGACAGCCAACGATCCACTTCGGGATGGTGTGTTCGACTTGGTGACTCTTTCATTTCCTGGCGGTGTAAAAAGCAGGACCGAGTGTCGAAGTCTTCTATAGAGGCAGAATACCGGGCGATGTCAGATGTCACGTCTGAACTAGAATGGCTAGTACGGTTATTTGGTGATCTTGGTGTCACATGCGAGCTTCCTATGCAGTTGTACGTGGACAATACTAGTGCCATTCAGATTGCGAATAATCCGATTCTACATGATAGAACCAAACATATCGAGGTTCATGTTCACTATATTCGAGATTTGGTTCGTGATGGTACAGTGCAGGTTCGTTATGTCAAGTCTGAGGACCAGATTGCAGATCTCCTAACGAAGGCCTTCACTGCGGGAAGACATTCATATCTCTGGCAAATTGATGATGAGAGACCTTCATCAATTTGGGGGAGGCTGTTGAGTTATAGAAGCCCACAGTGAGAGAGCCAATATAAATATAATTAGTGTCCATGTACATAAGTAATTAGGGAGCTAGGGTTCGGCCATGAACCCTATATATATTGTCTCGTTGTAACCTATACGATTAAGAAAATAAGAGAACACTCACCTGCTTCGGCCGTGGACTAATCTCGTTCATCTCTATGTCGTTTCCTGTTCCGATTCCGATTTAGTTCCATTTTGTTATACATCTGTCATCGTGCCTTCGGCGATTTTAACATAGACCACTTAGCATCACCTGCAAAACCCACCTGCAGCAAACCCTTCACAAAACACCATCTAATCACACCCTAGGGAGAAAACAAGAAAATAAAACATTTTACTTGTAAGAGCAAAATGCTAATGTTATACAAATTGCTCATTGAAAAATGACTTCTAAAAAACTTTTTGACAAACAATATATTTGAAAATGTCCATATTATCAAATATCTATGTTTGTCGAATATCTATATGTATTCGAATGAATCGCTTTGTAAATACACCAAACAAATCACCTAATGTAACAGTAGAAATGGAGGAGTAGGCTTCTCCACACTATGTTTTATGTTTTATCATGTGTTGTTGATAAAAGTTTAGAAATGAGAGGTAGATGCAATGATATTGATTTATAAAATTGTGATCCATTAAAAGTGTGAGATATTTTGCTATGTTTACTTCTAACTCTTAGACACGCTTAAGTGACGCCTAAATGTGGTAGGCGCAAGGCAGAACCTTACCGTTCGCCTTACGTTTAGCACTTTCTTAAACCTTAAGAAATAGTAGTGAAAAGAGGACAAAATGGGGAAAAATCCCAAAGTACACACGTTCTTAAAAAAAATTCCCAAAATACATAAGTTATAAATTTTTTTCCAAAAGTACACATGTTTGCATATGACATGTAGTTGTTTACTGTCAGAATATTTTACCTTCCACTCGAAATTGCGCCTCAACGCCTCTTCTGTAAAAGCATCCTGCACAGCGTCTTTCGATGGGAACGCCATACCCACCTCCAAATTGGCCGTCGGATTGTACACTGGCATAGGGACAAATTCGGGGGGATCATTCTGACTATGTAAAAATTGAGTTGGAACCTGTGTGTAATATGGCGTGGGTGCCTCACGAAATGCCGCCTCATCCTCGTTATCATCGGTATCTTCCTCCTCCTCGCTCACTGATCTCAAATCTTCCTCAGTATCCTCGTCGCTCGACTCGAATGGATAGCTCGGGCTAGAAGGATCAACATGACCACGATCACCAACATCGTCCTCTCGCTCATGTGAAGTACGCCCTGATCGAATGGTATTCTCGATTCCATACCACTCTGGCCCCCAAGCAGGCCATTGAACACCATCGGCCTCAACAAATGGGTCTGGTTTAGGAGGTTGCGAGTATTTGTCCCATCCTGCACTACTCGATCCACCGTAGTTGATTGAACCACCACCCTCCCCGTAACCTCCTGTATAACCACCGCCTTGGTAGTTGCTCGAACTACCACCCCATTCGTACCCTCCTGCAAAACCATCATCATAAGAATACTGGTGAGAATGAGATTCACCGACCTCCTCGGTCTCAACATACACCTCTGCAAGCCGGACTTGGTTATCGCTTAGGAACTGTAACATCATCGTAACCGTGTCATCATCGTTTATGACAACTTCTTGGAACACGACCCCGCCAGCACTCATGTCTGGATACCGGTAAGTAATTTTGCCAAGTCTCGTCTGTCCGCTCGTACAAACCCTTTCTGCACAAAGATCACAGAGTTCTTGAAAATTGAATCGGGAATCAATTTTCAGCATAATGGATTCGCCGTCCTCATAATCAATGCCTATGTCAGAGTTTGTCACCCTTCCATTCCACCGAATAGTAAGATGAAACTTCTTGAATTTACCCATATCTACAAATCGAGAATAAGTATCTATTAGCTTAAAGACAGTAAAATTAACCAAAATCATATTGTACAACTAATAGTATCCATCTCATAACTAACGAACATAAATTCAACTAACTAACAACAACATAATACGAAAATTTAATCATACTATAACTACTAAAAACATAATTAGACTATAATACGAAAAGTCTCAACATACCGAAAAATGTCTGTTCTGTGTATTATGCTCGATTTTTGTTGCTGAAATTTGAAGAAGGGGGAGTGGTTATGTTTTTACTTCTGCTGGAGGGTTGGTATTTATAGGAAAATCTGCCTATTATTCACCGTTTTTGTCAAAAACGGTGAACACCATCACCGCGTTTGTCTCAAACGGTGAATAATAGGTAGGTGTGACCTAATTTTGACCTAACAGGGGTGGGAAACGTGGGAATACATCACCGCGTTAACCAAAAACGGTGAATGTATTCACCGTTGTCAACTAAAACGGTGATGTATTCATCGTCCTCTCCAAACGCGGTGAATACATCACCGTTTTAGATAAAGGCGGTGAATACGTCACCGTTTTTGTTTTAAACGGTGAAATATTCACCGTCTTTGACAAACGCGGTGATTACCTTCACTGCGTTTGTCAAACACGATGAATGCCAAACATGTGTACTTTGGGAAATTTTTTTATAACTTATGTATTTTGGGAATTTTTTTAAAAAACGTGTGTACAGTGGGATTTTTTCCGACAAAATGGAGCAACAAAAGATGACCACATTCTTGTCAAAAAAAGATGACCACATAGACTGGGCATTATAGGCCGCATTTCATTAGTTCGGTTAGGCATAAAAAAGGTAAAAAGAGAAAGTCGTTGAATGAGAGGGGAGAAACAGAGGACGAGGAGGGAGGATAGGGGTAGTTTGGGGAAGAGTGTGCTCAAAGTACTTTTGGCCATTTTTACCAATAAACAAGTAATATTAGTTAGTTACTTCACAGCCACAGGACAGCAGCACCAGGAAGCAAAGCAACAACAATAGTAGGAATAGGAAGGTATTGAATTGAAGGCTGGAAGTGGGTGGTGGACTGGTGAGAAGGAAGAACAAAGTTAGATATCAAGGAAGTGAGTGAGTGAAAAGGAAAATGATAGTGGTTGTTGTTGTCGTTGCTGTTGATACAGTTGCCTGCCCCTGCCGCCTTACTCCTACTACTTACTTCTCTTCTCTTCTCCCTTTCTTCTTCTTCTTCTTCTTCTGCCTGTAATTCAATCTTTCCCCTTCTCCCTCTCCGTATATCTACATTCTACACACTCCTCTCCAATCCTATATTCTTAATTTCCCTCAACTACCCCTATCACTTTCTACACCCCTCTCTCTCCCTCCTCCCTTTTTCACATTGCCTCTCTTTTTCCTCTTCCTAGAAATTACCCACTTCCCAAAATTTCCCCGTTCTTTAGCTGCTGCTCTTACTCTCTTCTTCCCCTACTTGTTTTTCACATTTTCGGTCTGAAAACTCTCAATTCAGGACAAGGGTCTGGTGATTTTTCACTAAAGTTGCAAACTTTATGGTCTGGATTCACTGCTACTTGGAATTTTCTGCTGCGCTAACATTTGGGGTTCTGTAATGGACACTCCGCCGTCTCCTTCTCCTGTTTCTTCTCCCGGCGGTGGAGGAGGGGAGGATTGTTGTGTAAAAGTTGCAGTACACGTCAGACCGCTCATCGCCGACGAGAAAGCTCAAGGATGTAAAGATTGCGTCACTGTCGTCCCTGGGAAACCTCAGGTACGGCATTTCCTCTGGAGTGTCTGTTCCCTTTATTTGCTGCCCCTGAAGTTAATGCCCGCCAAAAGAAACAGTAAATATGGAAGAAGCAAAGGGTGGGTTGGTTCGGTCAGCTGGTTTCCAGTGAGAAATTGTCAGAAAGTTTTCATCTTTCTTGGTGTGGTGATCGATTGAGTAGTGAAAGGAGATCTAGATCTCAGCAGCTGCGGGAAGTGGGAACCATGAGGAACATTTCCCCCCCCCCCCCCCCCCCCCCCCCCCCTGTTGGTAGTTCTTTTTGAATACTAAAACGGGGAAATTACCAGAGTCTCGTGGTTTTTTTTTTTTTTTGTTGACCTGTCACTGTGAGTTGTAGTGTTTTTGGGTGGAATGAAGGGAGGAGTGCAGAAAGCCCAGAAAAGTGATCACCTCCCATTTCCTTATTTGGCTATTTTGTTTTCTCGAAATTGGTTTTGATAAAATTTCAGTGAAAAAGGTTGAATGGTCATTCTGTGATGGGAAAGTTTTTTGCGGCCAATTTCTGGTGTCGGATATTTTGTTTTGTTCCTTTCTGGTCTCCTCCATACTATGAGACTAGTCCAAATTTTGTGATTGCACTTCTAAGGCAATTAAGCTGATGGTGCAGGTTCAAATAGGCACACATTCGTTTACATTTGATCATGTCTATGGGAGCACGGGTTCACCTTCGACAGCCATGTTCGAGGAATGTGTTGCTCCATTGGTTGATGGCTTGTTCCAGGGTTACAATGCTACAGTCCTTGCCTATGGTCAGGTAGGTAATCAGACGTTTGATTTCATATTGGAAATACTCTCTTTATTTGTTCGTCTGTGTCATTGTTCTTCTGTTCGATCGTTTGAATGTATCTATTTGCAGACGGGATCCGGAAAGACATATACAATGGGTACAGGATTCAAAGATGGTTACCAAGCCGGAATAATTCCTCAAGTGATGAGTGTTCTGTTTGGAAAAATCGAGACTTTGAAGCATCAAACCGAATTCCAGCTCCATGTTTCCTTCATCGAGGTCTGTGATGTTCTTTTTTTTCTTGGTAGAAACTGTGATGAAGTTCTGTGATGCCTTCCTCCCCGAAATTCTCCTGTCTCCCTATTTCTGTGTATCTAACTGAGAGAGTGTTCTTCTATTGTGTGAAAGATTCTGAAAGAAGAAGTGAGAGACTTGCTGGATCCCTCGTGTCTGCACAAAGCAGAATCTCCCAATGGACACTCGGGAAAAGTAAACTTGCCAGGAAAGCCACCAATACAAATTCGAGAATCTTCAAACGGGGTGATAACGCTAGCAGGATCCACGGAAGTTACTGTTGGCAGTTTCAAGGAAATGGCCGCTTACCTTGAGCAAGGATCATTGAGCAGGGCAACTGGGAGTACAAATATGAACAACCAATCAAGGTAATTTATTCCTATACTGAGTACAATACATGGCTTTCACATTAAGTCTAAGACCCACAAGGTAGTAAGAGATGACTAGGACTAACATGTATATCTCTTTGATTGGTGATGTTCACATGCCTGGTTCTAATCATTTGGAGCAATTGTTTTCACTTCTTGTTGGTGTAGCCGTTCCCATGCAATTTTCACCATCACAGTAGAGCAAATGCGGAAAACCAACCCACTCTTTGCTGGAGATGGGAGTCCTAACGACGGGATGAACGATGAGTATCTTTGTGCTAAGTTGCATTTGGTAGATCTAGCAGGATCCGAGAGGGCTAAAAGGACTGGTTCAGATGGCTTGCGTTTCAAGGAAGGTTGGTTTTTGCATTATTAATTTTGATTATGTCTTAGAAGTTAGAAGTTCTTGTTCTAGTTAGAACTTTAATCTTAACTTTTTCTTGTTCTATTAATATAATCAGGCATTCACATCAACAAGGGGCTTTTGGCACTTGGCAACGTGATCAGCGCACTTGGGGATGAGAAAAAGCGAAAAGAAGGTCTTCATGTTCCTTATCGGGACAGTAAATTGACTCGGCTTTTGCAGGACTCACTTGGCGGCAACAGCAGAACTTGCATGATAGGTAGTTTGACATGCAACTGTTTTCTTATTCCTCTACCACTTATTTTTTAATGCTCATTTCTCTAACATTGTGAAAATGGATTGCTTGCTTTGCCCAGCTTGCATTAGCCCTGCTGATATAAATGCGGAGGAAACCCTGAACACTCTAAAGTATGCAAATCGTGCTCGGAATATTCAAAACAAGCCTATTGTAAGTACCTGGGCAATAATTTAGGAAATGCAATCTATTGTTTGTACCGAACCTATCATTGAACAGCCTTTTTGCTTTTTTCTATTTTTTTTTCCAGGTCAATAGAGATCCTATGTCAAGTGAGATGCTCAAAATGCGGCAACAGCTGGAGTATCTTCAGGCAGAACTTTGCGCCCGTGGAGGATTTTCATCCGATGAAGTTCAGGTAAGTTTGAATGATGATCTAAACTATCTTGTATTACTTATCATTTTCTAAAAGGTCTCTCACGTTGTAGGTTCTCAAGGAAAGAATTGCATGGCTTGAAGCTACGAACGAAGACCTTTGTAGAGAGCTTCATGTATATCGCAGCAGGTGTGCTGCTGTAGATCCCCGTGAAATAGATGCTCAAGTATGTTATGAACTCCTTATTTTCTTCTAGAATGGCTCTTTTATTATTAAGCTTGCTTTTAATTTGATTAAAACCAACGTATGTAACAGTAGGTAGGCTGTAGGATTGAATGTAGAGATTTAATTTTTTCTTTCTATCAGGATATATGTTCTGTGAAAGGCGAGGGACTCAAAAGGAGCTTATGCAGTCTAGAAGCATCAGACTATCAAATGGTTGAAACAGTACAGAGCGATGCTAGGGAAATTGATGAAGAAGTAGCTAAAGAATGGGAGCACACGCTTCTCCAAAGCACAATGGACAAGGAGCTGCATGAGTTGAACCGGCGCTTGGAAGAGAAAGAGGTATGTTTTTCTTTTCCAGGTGATACTTAATGCTGAAACATGATTACATGCTGATCCTTGTACATCTAGATCTAATCTCAGTAGTCAGGAATTCCACTTGAAGCTTGTAGTGCAGCGTTTTATTCTGATGTTATCTTAAATTTATGAGCAGTCGGAGATGAAACTTGTTGGAGGTTTCGACACTGCAGCACTCAAGCAACACTTTGGCAAGAAAATCATGGAAATGGAGGATGAGAAAAGAGTTGTGCAGGTTTAAGATTGCACCTACAATTTTTTTTGTTGTTTTATCTTGCTAGTCATGTTTCATTTTATCGGACTGCTTATTTGACTGCAGCAAGAACGAGACCGTTTGCTTGCTGAAATTGCAAATCTCTCAGCTGGTTCGGATGGGCACGCGCAGAAATTGCAAGATGCTCACTCCCAGAAACTGAAGACATTAGAGACACAGGTTGGTATAACTTTTGTTTCAGATAGTTTTGAGCCATTTCGTGTTGAAGTTGTTAACAGGCTTTGTAATTTGCTGCATTTCCAGATTCTGGATCTGAAGAAAAAACAGGAGAGCCAGGTCCAGCTTTTGAAGCAGAAGCACAAAAGTGATGAAGCGGCAAAGAAATTGCAAGAAGAGATACAATCTATAAAGGCCCAGAAGGTTAGATAGACGCCTTAAATTATTCGGAGGCGCAAAGTACTATTTTTGTGGCATTTGCGTTTGCCTACTCTTTCTGTACCCTTTCTTTCTTGCTTGCACAGGTTCAATTGCAACACAGAATGAAGCAAGAGGCTGAACAATTTCGACAATGGAAAGCGTCTAGGGAAAAGGAGTTGCTTCAGGTATGATTTCAAAGCATCACTTGTGAATATAATCTGCTAAATTTACATATAAAGCATTTGATCAGTACAGAAGGTTGTTTGGGTTTTGGCGTGTGTAGTTCTCAGATATATTTGGCTCCAAAGCAGTTTGCAGAGGCTTTTGCCCCTTTCATTGATCGTATATACTTGCCTGTTGCAGCTACGCAAAGAGGGGAGAAGAAATGAATATGAAAGGCATAAGCTACAAGCCATAAACCAGCGCCAGAAAATGGTGAGCCTCTTCCAATCTTACGATGCCCTGATAATTTGCTGTATCAAAATTAGAAAATATTGTGACTGTAAGTTCTGCTGTTTGACAAAGAAAAATGTTGCATTTTTCAGGTTCTGCAAAGGAAAACAGAGGAAGCTGCTGTTGCTACCAAGAGGTTAAAGGAATTGCTTGAAGGCCGAAAGTCTTCTCCACGTGACAATGGTAAAAACCAATTATTTTTCGTACTTGTTCATTACAGGTTGCTTAACTGTAACAAAACTCTTATCAATAGCTTTCTTCTTATTCTTCCAAACAAAATGACCTGGTCATATTACATTTGCCAGGTCTTTCCAATGGACATGTAACCAATGGACAGGTACTTTGTACATCTTCTCTTTTGCCAAGGAAATTAATTTACTTATCCATGATCCATGGAGACTTCTTTCAATTTTTGACATTTGAAACTCTCTATTGCAGAGTAATGAAAAATCTCTACATAGATGGCTTGATCATGAGCTAGAAGTCATGGTGAATATTCATGAAGTTCGTTTCGAGTATGAGAAGCAAAGCCAAGTGTAAGAAATCATTCTATAGCCAGCAATTAGATTATTGGATCGTCTAATTCATAAGCTCAATCTCACTGTACTGTTCATATTCAGGCGAACAGCATTAGGCGAAGAGCTGGCTGTGTTGAGACAGGTGGATGAGCTAGCTTCAAAAGGAATAACCCCTCCAAAGGGAAAGAACGGATTTGCTAGGTACAATGTTTATTGAAGTGATTGCATCGAAGACTGAAAATAAATGCTCAAGTATATTGAACAAAATTCTTCTTTCTCCAGGGCTACATCCATGTCACCAAACGCCAGAATGTCCAGAATAGCCTCACTCGAGAGCATGTTGAGCATATCATCTAACTCTCTCGTGGCTATGGCTTCACAACTTTCAGAAGCAGAAGAGCGTGAGCGCAGCTTGACCTCCCGTGGGCGTTGGAACCAATTGCGGTCCATGGGAGAGGCAAAGAGCTTACTTCAGCACATGTTCCACTCTCTGGGGGATGCTAGGTGCTCGATCTTTCTGGACCATGGATGCCATATATTTCAAGTTTCATGCGTCTAAGCATCTTCTTTGACGTAACATGAGAATGAACCACTCATTAAAATGTTTGGATGTCTAATAACAGGTGCCAAATGTGGGAGAAGGATATGGAGATCAAGGAAATTAAGGAACAATTCAAAGAACTTGTGAACCTATTACGACAAAGCGAAACTCGAAGAAAGGAAATTGAGAAGGAGTTGAGGTTGAGAGAGCAAGCTGTTGCTATTGCTTTGGCTACAGCAGCTTCGGTAGGGCTAATATCGAAGCATTCATGATTTCCCTACGAGACTAATGAGCCCAAGTCGGTTAACGATTTCTAATGAGGACCATTTTTCAGGCTGGCCATGAACAAGGGACCCCACCCAATTCACTAAAACACGATGCTGATGAAATGATGAGCAGTCCCTTGTCTCCAGTATCTGTGCCAGCACAGAAGCAGCTAAAATATACACCAGGAATAGTGAACAGCCCAGTCCGAGAATCAGTAGCGTTTATAGATCAGTCGAGAAAAGTTAGTATCTTTCTTTCATTTCCCCACTTGAATCTTACTACTATAGATGGCAATTATCAACCCAAACCAACTCCACCCGTTTGAAGCTCATCTAACCCAGAACCCATTTATAGATCTGGCAGATTGCCTTAGTACCCTCCAAACTACATCAAATTTTCAAAAGAGTGCCAGCAATTTACCAACAACCTACATTAAGGGTTAGCACCAGCATATATAACTTTCTGCTGATGTTTGCAGATGGTACCACTTGGCCAAGCATCAGTGAGAAAACTAGCAGTTGCAGGTCAAGGTGGGAAGCTATGGAGATGGAAGAGAAGCCATCACCAGTGGCTCTTGCAATTCAAGTGGAAATGGCAGAAGCCATGGCGGCTATCTGAGACAATCAGGCTCAGTGACGGGACGATTACAAGGACAAAGCATCGTGTACAGTACCGAACACGCGTGTCATGAGCTGTGAGCAACTCGGGTTACTCTGAGCATAATCTCTCCATCTTAGAGCTATAAGTATGGTTGTGATCCACTTCTATAGGAGGTAATCTTTTCTTCAAAATGCCTCTCCATTCCATTTCCACACTTCTCTCGTTCAAAATGTTGACTCAATGTTCTGACATACGACAGAGGGAGCGAGCTATGCTTGTTGCTGAGAAGGACGGGTTGATTTTGAAAGGAAGCTAGGGTTTTTCTTTGCTGGTTGGATACTTATAATGCTGCTGGGGAGCATCTTTGTAAAGCAGTGGTTTGTTGATGCTGCCCCATGGTCATATCTAACGAAGATCTGAGGAAAACGCAGTTCCACTGGCGAATATTCTGCCAAATAGACCTAGTACTCAGTTCAATAACCCAACACTTCTTGAAGGGAAACAATCTCTTCAGGATGTCTGCACAAAAAATGTACGAGGAAGAAGAAGATCTCTGCTTTAGTTTGTTTTGGTCCTATTACTAGGTGAAGTGTTCTTTTTGTATCTCTACCTAATTTGTCCATTATTTTAGTGTGTAAAGCACAGAAGTTGATTAGCGAAGATTGGAATAGGGGATTCTTTGGATGAACAGGGATTTGTATTAGGAGTGTGTATATGTAAGAAGACAACAATATATGCCATCATATTATGTATAAAAGGGAAATTAACTTAAGCATGTATTGCCTTGTAACCTACTTTGTTTGAGGTTCGTTTATGATTTAGAAATGTAACAATTAATCCTTGTGCCACATCATTTTGACAATTAAGTCTCTGTACACCAAGTCCTCTCTGAGTTGACACCTACTTCTAACCAAGGATTGAAATACCGTTACCAGTAAGATATTTTATGCTAAATCTATGGTTCAACTGTTTCGTATCACTAAATATCGCTTACCAATTTAGCATTCAATATAAAATTTATCAATCCTTGCTTCTAACGGGATTGGATGGCTCTAGTTAGGACACCCAGTTCTAGAGCAAGGAAATGTTCACTGCAAATTGTAATTAACTGGGACTTGTTGGTTAAAATGACATTGTAATGTTACTAACATTGCAATTTAACCCTTGCGCAAAAATTGGATCCACTACTTCTACTTGTTCTGCATCATTATATGGAATGTAGCAGCACACCAATTACAACCAAACTTTTATCTGAATACACGCCATGACCCATATATTCTTTTCGATAGATTATTATGAGGAATTCAGGACCTCTACAAATCTCTTCAAGTCCTTATTTGTACAGAAATCCTAGGGAAGGGATCTTCAGTGGAAAGAGAGAACCAAAGGAACTGGCAAAATTTGAAGCACTTAAGTACCTGGAAGGTAGCCTATGGTATACACAAACACACGGACTCCAAGCCCAAATTCTGCGTTCCAGCAGCTGCTCAAGAAGGGCTGCAACTAGCATACAAGTTGACACATTCCTGCTATTCTATACACTCCATTCTTAAGGCAGCTCAGGGGCCTCCGAAATCTCAAGCAGAGGCAGTCAACATGCCAATGTAATGCATCAGATTCAGTAATAGAGGAAGAGAGGTCATTGTAACTTTGCCCCTTTGTAAAGGTTCATTCCTGGGAAGTAGGAAAAAGCCAGAGATCGTATATATCATCAGTTGCCACACCAGTAGGTTAAGTGCTCGTCTCTGCGATTCACACTAACAAGACCACCACATTGTAAGCAGATGAAGCTGCTCCCATCAGCAAATGCATCCAGGACTATCTGATTTCTTCCGGTTTCCGCAAGTATGGAGTTCTCATGAACATCCTGTCCAATGCCACCGGATTCGCTACATCGGTTGTGCTGCATCGGATGGTCATTGGCGGATTGGGAAGACTCGGTTCCTGCAATTGCACACTCCGCGAACAGAGTAGCCAGCTGATCGATGGAGTTGCTGCTCTCTTGTAGCCTGGTTCTGTAGAGTTCACGAGCACGACTCAGTGACTGGAACATTGCTTGGTCTCCACCTTGGTTTCGGGCAGCTGCCATCACCTATAGAAATTGAAAACAATTAGGATAAAGCTCTTCTCTTGACACAAAAGCTATGGTCTTAGACAGTGCTACTTTCAGGAAAAGGAAAGCTAGAACAGAAGCGACTCCGTCACCATAGAAAACAAGAGTCTGAACGGATTAGGCAAATCAGCAGAGGAAAAAACCCCAAATTTGTTACTGGCAGAGCTTCCAGGATCACAAATTCACAATGTTTCTTGAACCCTAAAAGAGCGAGGAATCAGCAGGAGTAAGAAGGCGAGTTTTCTTTTTTTCGATTCAGATCATGTTCCACAGAAAGCTCCAAGATTGGGGAAATAGAGCAATCGAAAACCCGAGCTCCAGCGATCGTGAGCAGAATCCGACGATGATGGTTCTGGAAACTTCGAAAGGTGGCGAGGATTGGGGGAAAGCGATAGCGAGAAATGGGAGATAATGTTAAGGCGTATACATACCACTTGAAGGGCCTGGGAAGGTTTGCCTTGATTGATGAGCTGTCGGGCCAATGCGAAGAGCTCTCGGATATCGCCGGAAGGATTAACCGGCGCTGCTGTGGCGGTGGCGATGGGAGTCTCCGTCTCCATCATTTCGGAGTCCATCGAATCCACCGGGTTTCACTGATGTAAGGTTCTGGAGGGCAAGGCAGGAGGATGCCGCTGCGGCTTTGCTTGATATTTTTTTTTATAGTTGCCTCGCTTGCTGCTGCCATTTTTTTTTTACCAGAAAAAAAGAAACAAAGAACGGTTGCCCTCTCGCAGGATCGAACTGAGAGACTAGAGGTTTCCAGATTCCCTCCAGAAAAAGCTTAATATATCTAAATAGACTCAATAATTTGAATCAAATTCATTGATGGAGTCTAATTTATCAACTAAAAAATCAAACTAATCAAACTATTTAGTACAAATTCAATTGGATTGGTGGATACATAAATTGGATTCAATGGATTGTTACAAAAATTAGAATTTAGTTTTCATATATTTTATATTTAACAATTTGATACCAAATAATAATTCTTCTTAAAAGTTTACATTGTGATACCTGATTTTTTATAATGACATTCCGGCACCTAAATTTTAGAAATTTTTATAATGATGCAAAACTTAGATATCACTTTGACTCACACGAATGCAATTCAGGAATTCAGGAATTCATTTAATACGTTCACCAATCAATGAAACCAATTCATTTGCTACCTTTATACTAATTTTTTTTTTGTGTGGGAATACTAATATATTATCAAATGTTAGTAAATGAGCTCATTTTATTAGATAGGCCTAATCTTTTTGCTGGATGATTTAGTGTTTATGCATCGTATAACAAACATTTCATGCAAATTAAATATGAGACTGTAATTTATAGTGTTTATCACTCTCATTCTTGATACATTATCTCCTTCTATTGAAACATATTTAGTAATTTCAATGATATGTCTTGTCTAAATCACAACTATTTGATCAATGAGCTTTTAATTGACCTAGGCAATGTTCTTGTACTATTTTTGGTATACTTTTCATGGTTTTGAAGGTACAAAGCAACCTAAGGAAGATTGGATCAAGCATTGAAGTACTCTGGAGGACCAAATGAGCTATAAAGAGAAGTTTAATGAGTTTTCACAAAGAATTAGTGGTCCAATGACGAAGCAATCAACTAAAAGTTGTTAGACTATGTCAAGACAACCTAATAGCATCCTTGTTCGTTTGTGAAGCATTTGGTGAAGAAGGTCATAAAGGATTCGAATATCATAGCCATGAAGGGCAGGGACATGCTCATGTCAATTATATAAATCAAGGCTATCAATCGAGGCAACAATAAGGTAGCTATGCTCCTTATCAAAGATTCAACCAACCTCGCATACCATATGGTCAATGGCCTGCTCCATGAGGAAAGAAGCCCAGAGCGCCAAAAACTTGATGTGGAATTCATGAAAGTGATAATCCAAGATGTGTCTAGGGTCGTATTCCTCGAGGTCTTCTAATGCATAACTACTCACACCAACTGACGACACATAAAATTGACTATACTAGACCCTAGTATTATGATCCAAAGTACATTCATTTCAATATCTTTATTATCATATCTTGAATTCATGCAATGAATGCTTCAAGTGTGTTTTAGCAACTTTAAGATTGCTTTTGCGGGTTTGATGCGCTTTTGGTAACGTTTTGTGCATTTTTAAGTCAACGCAATACATTGGATCACTTGGTAGCCGAAGGGGGCATCAAGATCTAGTTTTTGGAGTCGGGACTTAAAGAGAAGACGTGCTTAAAAAAAGGCACCCAAAATGGCGGCCCATGATCAGAAACAGCGCCGTTGACACTGTTGGATGTGGCACCTCTACTTCGTCAGAAAGTTAACTGGGAGCTTCCCGATTCGCTGACTAAGAATTTGGATCTTTCTGATTGACTGGATGATGAAGTAGCTACGAGTTTATCTCCCCAAAAAGCCTAATCAAACGCCTATAAATAGACCTATAGAGATAGAAATCATGAGGGGAACACGAGAGGTCGAAGAAGGGTTGTTACTCTGCTGACAGAGCGACTCACCTGAACTAGAGCTAAACCAACCGAGGGGGAGGAATTGGTGCTAGAAATGAAGACAAAGGGACGTCGTTAGATTGATGATCTCCCAGGAACCCTTCCCCATGGCTGGCTAGTTCCTTTTGTTGCATAGGCATGTGAACCCTAAGGGTTCTAGTAATGTAAAACTCAATATTTGGCTTTAATATGATTGTTTCATTTCATATTTGTGATGCTTGATTTCCTCTATTTTGTTATTTGTCTATTTGAACGAATGCTTAGTCAACCTTGCACTCCTATGAGATGCAAGGATCGAAATTCAAACTATGTCGGATTAGACCAGACATGGCGGTCCTATTCAATCGATCCTCATTCGATCAAACGCTGTGATTCCTTAAGGGAGAAATCTATAGGGTCCTTGTTGCCCATTAGTTCGGGTAAATATTTCGACACAAGGTGGGATGTAACGGAATATGAAATCAGCGGCTCGTACGTTGCAAAATATCGAGGGGTGCGTGACTAAGATACCCAGGGAGAGCTTGCCTATGCAACACCTGTCCGTCTTGTGTCCCTCACTCGTGCAAACGTAGTCATAGGTTTAATTCTCTGCATGTTTTCTTCTTTTCATCTTTATTTTGCAAATCCGGAGGCACCTCAACCTCCTAAATTGTTTTCTAACTCAATAAAATCGTATCTCGCCACCAGAGTAAGGATTCTGGAAGAGGCCCTAGAAAAATATGATCTTGGCCTTTGTGCCATGTAAATTTTGTACATGCTACAATCGACGACATCAATTGGTACTCCTTGCTTTTCTTCCCTTGTTGTATAGGATGTTGTAGATGTTCCTTCTTCTCCAAGATCGAAGCTGTAGTCTTTGTCAATTTCCTTATCCCAACTTGAGTTGAACTCAAGATGAGTGTGGCTTGAAGTTTCCTCCACTGAGCTAGATGATATTTCTTCTTTGATGAAATCCTCCATGATATTTTGGATGGTGGAGGCATCTTACTCCTCTCCTAGGTTGGACTCCACATTGGTCTAGTCATCAGCATTTATGATATTTGGTTCCTCTTGAAGCTCCTTATTTGGTTTGATAGGGTGAGATGGGTGTTCCTCTAGTGGCTCATTTCCTTCTTTTTTCGGTTCGGTTTGATACCCTTGTTTGACTTCTCCTCTATGATATTTTCTTCAATGTTCGGTTCCTAGGGTTTTGTTGAACTTTGAATAGGAGGTGCATGGGGGTCATCATTCTCTAACTCTTCATCCTGGAAGTTTCCAATGGTGGATGCCTTGGTAGGTGGAGTATTATTGGATTCATATTGAAAGTGTTCAAAGCCTTCAAGTGGTGTAAATCCTTCAACCTCATCCCATGAATCCACGAATTCTTCATGCTCTGTAAGCCCTTCTTGCACGTTGTTCTCTTCAAAACCTTCACGCACTTCATCGGAACTTCCTTTATTGGCTTCAGAAGGCTCCTCGATGATTTGAACATCTTCTAGCAGTTGTTTTGATCCTTCATCATTGGTACTAGTATCGATGCTCCCAAGAGGTTCTGACTTGATCTGGTGTCTTGATTGGAGGAAAGAAAAAACTTACTCCCATTCCTATACAATTATGTAATTCCCATACTTTTCCCTCATTAGCTTTGAGTCTTTTGGATCCACTTCTTCATCATACAAATCGACATAGATATTTTGTTGAGAAAAATGACATGAAGGAGGATTGGTGTTGCTTCCTTCAACCTTCGATCATCTTTGGCTCATCTTTCTTACTTCCTTTTGGTATCACGTCTTGTTGGCTACCTCGAGTATGAATCTTGCTAAACAAAACCAACCAGATCATACTATTTTCTTTTTTATGAAATGAAAATCAAGCACAAGAGGTTAGCTTCTTTCGATGCTATAAAAACTTCTCCGGCAACGGCGCCAAAAAGTTGATGTAGTATGGAGTGATAAATATCCTAGGAGATCCTAGGATCTTATTCCCCGGGTTCTTTTAAGGGTTAATATATTTGTATGGCCTGAACTTTTCACATAATAAACATTCTGACCAATCTTTTCGATCTATAACATTATGGTCTGAACTATACACCAAAGTAACGAAATTGGCCAACCCCGAAAATTGACCGTTATCTTGGATGGTCAAACGCGTTAACTAACGGTTAACGCGCAACGTCACCGCCAAGCCATCACCTTTCACTTAAAAAATTTATATTTTCCAACTATTACTATTTATTTTTTCCATTTTGAATAAAAAAATTAAAAAATTAAAAAAGAATACTGGTCTTCTCTCCTCAAAAATCACAAAATCACATCTTACAATTCTTTCTGTGGCGTTTCAATCCTTCTCATTATGCCGCCACTCCGGCACTCTCCTCCGCCACCGAGGCTCACACCACTGCCGACAAGAATATTGGCTCCCTCACCAATCCTCAATCCTTTCCAACACTTGATGGGTGAACCGATTATCATTAAAAAACAGAGCATCCAAGGGTTTGTCGAAGAGCTCGGAAGGGACGAAGCCTTCAATTTCGTTGAATCTTTGATCTAGGAATTTCAGGGAAGGGAGCGAAATGACGACGGTGAGAACTCTTCGACGAAGCGATTGTTGTTGATGTCGAGCTCATGGTGGAGCTTGAACTTGCGGAACAATTTGGGCACGATGCTGCAGAACCGATTAGAGTTGGTGTGGCAGAGAGCCAGATCTGTGAGGAGGCCGAGCTTGTTGGGGAGGTACTGGTGATGTCGTCATGGTTAAGGTCGATGTCGGCGATGATGCGGAGTTTAGGATTGGTGAGGGAGGGGGCGCAGAAGACGTCGGAGTAGGAGCAGACGACGGGGTCGCTCCAGTTGGTGGTGAAGTTGAAGGGGTCGGGGTAGATGGCCTGCGATTGGAGCGCAATATCGCCTGCGGAGGCAGATGAGGAAGAGGTAGGACCCGAAAAATAATTTTTTCCCCTTTTTTTCAAAATAAAAAAGATAAATGGATATAGGTGGAAAAATCTATTTTTTAAAATGATATGTGTTGATTTGGTGGTGATGTGGTGCATTGACCGTTAGTCAATGTGTTTGACCGTCCAAGATAACGGTCAAACATCGGGTTTGGCCAATTTAGTTACTTTGATGTATAGTTTGGGTCAGGATG